ACCGTGGCAGAGTATCATGTGGACAGTCCTCCCTGGGGTACCATGTCCTTGGCTCACCTTGAAGTATACAGTACCCCTCTCTTTCACTATGTTGCTCTGCTCCAGTTTCTCCTCGGAGTTCATCTCCCAAGACTCCTTGGCCTGCCATACCCCAGAAGACAGACACAACGATCAGCTTCCTCAAAGTCACCCACAGACCAGACTCCAGGAGATGCAAGGCCTCAGGGAGACTCACCTTCTCGAAACTCTTCAGATGGACTTCATACCTCAGTTCAGCATGTGGTGGGATCTGGAACTTTTCCTTTCCAACACTGCCAAAAGCATAGCTGTGGAGGTGAAAACACCTGGGTCACCTCAGCCCTTCGTCTGCTCGGGCTCAAAGGCTGTTCCCTGGAAAAGTACCTTTCCATCTTGAGACCTGCTTCAAACACTTTGTCTGGCCAACTTTCCCTAACTTCTTCATTACACATTCAGGTGGTCCCACAGCACGCTGCTCCCAACTCTTTCAACTATACACTGCTGAGATGACTAACTCCAAGAACCACTGTATGTGTGGCATACAGCAGGTATTTCTTTCTTTCTTTCTTTTGGTTTTTCGAGACAGGGTTTCTCTGTATTGTTTTGGAGGCTATCCTGGAACTAGCTCTGTAGACTAGGCTGGTCTCGAACTCACAGAGATCCGCCTGCCTCTGCCTCCCGAGTGCTGGGATTAAAGGCGTGTGCCGCCAACGCCGGGCCAGCAGGTGTTTCAACAAACATTAATGACTGAATATATTCATGGCAGATGAAAACCATGATGTTGACAGGTAAGGGATTCAGGTGAGGCTTGAATGCAAGGAAATGTGGACAGAGGTGGGCCATACTTTCAGATCCAGTGAAGGAAGGGTTCATGATGGTGACAGGTATCTTTAAAGTAGCCTCGAGCAACACAGTGCTTGTAAACGCCTGTCACACAGCTCCCTGTAGACATTCAGTTATGGCCCTTGGCTCTGCATAGTGCCTATGTCTCACCTAGGTTTGAGGTATACAATGGAACGTTCTCCTTTCTCCATTCGCTGAACGGCCGATTCCAGCCCACAGGGCAGGTCTAGGCTTTCCCCTTCGCCGACTTCAAAGCGGAGCTCCCGCTGGTCAAAGAGCTGGTCCTTATAGTAGCCTTCCAGTGCCACTGGCATCAAAGAGAGGCAGTGCTCCGGGTGTGAGAGAGCAGAGCACTGAGGAGTTGCCACCAGCCCCCCGTAGCTCCCAATTACTGCTAATACCCAAGATAGCCATGTGTCTCAGACCTGCAGGGATGCTAACACAGTGTGGTCTAACTCCTCACCTTATGACAAAAGACTCACAGAAATGACTTGGTCCAAACCACCCGAGGCCTTTCCTCTCTGAGCCAGCACTCATACGCAACTCTAGATGTTTCTTCCCACGCCAGACTATACTTTCTCACCTTCTACCATTGCACCATCGTTGGGCCTGGCATAGCCTTCACCACGAGTCCGTATTCTGCGGATGATCCCACCATCTTCATCTTCTGTAAGATCTTCTCCTTTGAACTCAAACAGCTCCACCTGTGGGACGCAATATATGGTGGTGACCAATTCAACAAAGCTCTTTTCCACCTACAAGAGTTACCTCTAATGGCCGTATCACATCTAGTCAGAGGGATACAGTCCCAGTAGGAGCTTCTGACAAGCTGTTGGGGGATGATCTGGCCCACACTTTGGCTGAGGTCAGCAGGACACATGGACTCCACTTGGCCTCAGAAAGACAAACTCTCTATCACCCCACTTCGTTTAAAAGGACACGAGAAACTCAATCTGGTAGGCATTTGAAGTGGCCTTGTGAATACTCTCTCATGCCCACTGACTAGTTTTCCACTCAGACTAAACAGCCTTAGTTCTCTCCCTCAGTGGAGGCCATACTTCAACCTCTGACACGCAGGAAGGTGCTTCTCCCTCCTGTGCTCCAGGTTGCAATAGTCCACCCCACCCTTTATTTTTTTATTTCTAACCACACTACTCTTTATAACCCTAACAACCCCTGACAGACTCCTTTCAGTTAAGAAAGCCGCAGTCACTTCTATTCTAGAAGGGCTTTAGAGCCCCCTTTTCCAAACCAAAGCTTCTATTACTGGCCACTGTGGCTGCGGCAGAGCCTAGCCTTTCCACCTCTCCTCCTACTAAAGCCAGGCCCTCGCGCTTGGCTACATTGTCTCCAGAAGGTAGGAAGGGCTGGAGGGCAGCCAGGCAATGGGGTGAGATAAGGCCTGGCTCTCTGCCTGGCGCTCTATGGCCAGCACTCACCTCGAATACAAGCGTGGCGTTGGGGGGGATCTTTGGAGGGCTGCCCGCTGAACCGTAGGCATACTCAGGCTTGCAGGTTATGTGGCATATTTCCCCCACTTTCATGGTTGCCACGGCAATGTCCCAAGCCTTGATGACCTCCCCTGTAGGTAGAGGCAAACAAGACCTGCTGAGCAGGGGTCTAAGTCTAGGCTCAATGTCCCCTAAAACAGCCAGCTATACCCAAGGGGGAATCTGAACAATCCCTAGAAATGGGATCAGATACAAGGGGCAGTGTTGTCATTCTCAGCACATTAAAAGATTGCTCAACCTTGCAACAGAGCTCAAGAAGCAAGACTGTCCACCTGTGGAGGGAGGAGTTAAATCGATGAGATGGGGAAAAAAAAATCGGCCAGTGTCAGAACAGTGGGAAGAAAATACAGGATGGATAACAGACGGATTCTGTTTTGTCATTTTGTTTTTCGAGACAGGCTTTCTCTGTGTAGCCCTGGCTGTTCTGGAACTCGTTCTGTAGACCACACTGGCCTCCAACTCAGAGATCTACCTGCTACTGCCCCCTAGCCCCAGGTGCTTGGACTAAGGACGTGTGCCACCATGGCAGGGCAATAGATGAGATTCTTAATCATTCCTCCTTGATCCTGGTTCTGATGACCAGTTTATGCTATTTTGCCAAGGCTATCTTGAACTCCTGGGCTCACACGACTTGCCTGCCCCAGCTTCTCTGGTAGCCAGGATAATAGGTAAGCACTACTGTGGCCAGCTCAAGCTTGGCTGAGAACATAATGTTGCTTATGACAGCTCCGATCAACTTCGGGACCTATCCTGCCAGCCCACTAACCATGCATGCCTACCTTTTCCCAGGTCAAAGGAGAATTTGTCCTTGCGATCCAGACTGGAGTCAAACTTGGTGCCATCTAACAGCCAGCCAGTGTAGTGGACAAAGACCCGGTCCCCAATCATGGGTGTCTCTGTGCCTGTGCCCTCTCTCTTGATGACCTGGGAGGCATGGGGGGGGGGATGTGAGTACCCAGAGATGTGAACAGAAGTGCCCCAACTGCCTATGAGCCCTGGCCTCATTATCCTGATCTTCAAATGATTCTGATGTTATGCTTTAACTTAGACTCAAGGAGTAACGAAGGGAACAGATTGGTTCAAAACTGGGTAACCGAAGGGCCAGATTACAGATGAACACAAAGGCTCTGTATCAGGGCCTGGGAAATGAGAGTTGAGACACAAAATGACCAGACCCGCAGGCTAAGGGGGCCTTTATTTCAAGACTAGAGTATCTCCCATGAACACACAGGTGTCTGCTTCTGTTTAACATATTCATATATGGTGATCCCGTGGACGGGCCACTAGGTGGATGTAGAACCACCTTCTAAGGGAAGAAGGCTTCTCTGATAAGAATGGACAGGGGCCTCCAAGGAATGGAGGATACAAGGAATTGACCCTCTGGGAACCAGAGCCTTGCAGAAAACAGAAGAGAAAGAACGGTCACATGTTCACAGGAGAGCAGCTAGAGCTGGGGTAAAAGCCAGGAGCATTTCTGGACCAGTAAGGCTTCCAGAGGTCTCTGTTTTAGCACAGGCTCACACACTACAGGAGCTGAGCAATGGGGCGCCGAGAGGAGAAACAATGGACGAAGAGAGCGCAAGCAATGCGGGTTAGGATTTCACCGTCCCGGACTGCTGGCAAAACCTGCTCTGAACCGGCGCCCATTGTCCCGACCCAGGTCAGGGCGCCCTCCCCCTTGCTCCTCGGGCTATTTGCAGTCAGGCGATTAGTGAGCCGCTGGCTCCAGGGCAAAACCTCCTCCCCCACAGCCAGCACCCCGAACCCCCAACTCAGGAAGGCTCAGGAAGGGCGGGGGAGGAACTACAGGTCCCGGCATGCACCGCTCAGGCTCTCCCCAGGCCGAGAAAGGGGGCACAGCATGGCCGAGCCCGTGACCTCGCTGGGTCTCGGCGATAGCAATGGGGGCGCGCAGAGGCACAAAGGGCCGTGGGCCAGGAGACGGCTCCAGGGAGCCATTTCAGGTCCTAGCTAATGTTTAACTTTCAAGTGGGCGAGCACTGACGCACCTTCGCCCAGGTGGCCCGCGCACGCTGCGGCCGAGGGGTCCCCGGGAGGCGAGGCCCGAACCCCTAGGCACGCCCCGGCCTCGTGCGCCCCGCCCGGGCCCCCGGCTGCGGCTCTCGCGCTCCGCCCCGCCCCTCTCAGCCGCATAGTGCAGCCGGATCAAGTTGGCGTTGCAGTGGGGGCTCCTTCCCGGACCGGGGGCCGCACCCAACGGAGCGTGCAGCCACCGTGCCGTCTTCTGCGCCGCAGTCCGCACAGGGAAGGCAAATTCTCCCATCCTCCGGCCGCGGCGCCCCCTTGAGGCCCACGCGCCTGCAGTCCGGGGCTCCGCGGCCCCCTCACCTTGAGCACGCCCTCGTCCTGCTTGGGGCTGATGTCCACGCCTTCGAGAGGCAGGGGCGCCGACTGCGCCCCGTTTTCGGTCGCCTTCATCTCCTCGGCGGTCATGGCCGCTAGGCGCACCGTTGGTTGCGGGAGTGGAGCGAGCGCGAGCCGGGCGCTCTGGCTGCCGGCCGGGGTGAGCGGTGCCGGTGGCGTGCGGCAGAAGGCGGCGCTGACCACCACGAACCGCGCTCCAGGCTCGCACACCGGGCTCTCCGCGCGCTCGCCACCGGCGGCGGAGTCGGGCGACGCCGAGGGGCGGGCGCGGCGCGGCCCGGCCCGGCCCGTGATTGGTCCCGCTCGCCTCGGGGGCGGGCTCAGGAGGAGCCGCACGAGCGGGCTGCGAAGGGGCGGGAGCGGAGAACTTTCTAGAGAAGCGGTTAAACGGGTTGGGGCTCTTGGGCTGAGGGCAGCCGAGGGGGGTTTTTTGGTAAGGTTTGTTTTTTTTGGTTGATGGTTCCTAGGGGCGGCCTCCTCTCCCACTCCAGGACTTCTCAGGTTTCCATGATCACACCCTCCCCCACGTCCTCGCTCCCCACCCCCACCCCGCCGGAGTCTAGCCGAGTTTTCCAGATCCTTCTCCATCCTCAGGACTCCCAGGTCCGGGCCTGCCTGGCGGCCCGCCCTGTTCACTCCGGCCCACAGCGCAGTAGCTGGAGCCGGGTAGCCAGATGTGAAGAGGCAAGGGTCCGCCTCCCGCGGGTTTGGACCCCAGACACCCGTGGCGTTGCCTTCGGTTCCCGGACGTGGGCACCTAAGCAATGCGGGGCTAGAAGCCAAGGGAGTGAGAGCATGGACCCAGGAAGGAACAGCTTCAGTCCGGGCGCACAAATTGTAGGACGCAACTTTGTCCTCCCTGCAGCCTGGCATGCCCGCCAGATGAGTTGCTTTCCAAAATGCTGTGAGCAGGAGACCTTGTGAGAGATGACCCCCAGAGCCGAAGACTTGTAAGTGTGTTAAAATACTTCCTCCCATCGTGGGTATACGTGTGTTAAAATACTTCCTCCCACCCTACTGACCAGCCTTTTTTGTTAGTACTGGAGCACAAAATAGTTTCGGCTCATGAAGAAAACAAAAACAAATCCCCTTTCCCTTATTACTAAAGGTGGACAGGAAGCCGCTTCTGCTAAGCGATACCTGTGGAGTTCCGAGTCTGAAGGCTAAAACCGTGAAGTTCTAAGTTACTGAAACACTGCTCGCTTGATGGGACGGTGTGCCCGGAGAGGTCCTGTGTCTGCCCAGCATAATAGTACCACAGTTATACACAGCGCCTGGTGAGTGCTAGCAGATAGCTTATTGGCTTTGTGAGTTTTCATCCAGTGAAATGAACTTTTTGTCTCCGTGTGCTCGGTATGATGTTGCTCAGCGGGGCCATTTAAGTAGGCAGTAGGTTATAATACCAGGCCTGCGAGACGGCTCAGTCCCGAGGGTGGGGGTGCTGGCTTCATGACTGCGGACCTCGGGGTTTGATTCCTAACACCCACAGCATTGAGAGAACAGAGTCCTACAAAGTTGTCTTTGGACATCTGCACGTGTACTCTATCATCCCTCCTAAATTAGTGTAAAAAAAAAAACCAAACAAACCCTATTATACGGGTTTAAGTGTGACTGTTACATGATTTGTTATATCCCCTTCTGATGGAACCTAACCAGTTCTTTCCAAAAATTTACATTTTTATGAGTTTAAGCAAAATCCAAGCTACTTCTCCGGTAGTGAAGGCTCTTGTTTTTTTTTTTTTTTTTTTCCTTTGGGTTTCTCTGTATTGCTTTGGAAGTGAAGGCTGTTGTATAGCACTTGCAGTTATCTTTCTAGTGAGCGACTCCGGTGGGCCTTTGGGTGTTCCGGGCTCCGCAAGTTGTGATAGAGAAGGTAAGTTTTGCAGGAGTGAGTTTGTGTCTTCTCCTCCAGAACAGCATTGCAGGTCTAACGCTCTTGTGTTCAGGCAGCATCAGCATTTGCCTGTACGCTTACTCAACGGGTAGTTTAATACGGTTTGCAATAAGCAAAGAGTTGGCTTGCCCCGTTACAGCCGTGTGAATTGGGGCAGGCGTTAGCCTCCCTGTCTTGTCTGTGAGCCCTGTGAACAGGGTGAGTTGATAGTTACAAAAGAGGGATGCATTCCTGCAGGGCATCCGTGTGGTGCTGGGCGTGAGTGAACGAGGGATGTGTGGGGATGGAGGCGAGCACTGAGTGCTGTGGTAAGAGGGAGGGTAAACTTCTGGGACAGGTCTTCAGTGGGTGAGGCTGACACACACACAGGCGCTGTTGACACACAGGCACTGAGGTCTTGAATCCCAGGGCAGGCCCACGTGCCTCTGCATGCTTTCCTGATTGTATATGTAACTTTTTTTTTTTTTATTTTAAACTTTTTTTTAAAACTCAGCTCTAGAAATTAACTTTTTTTTTTAACCTTTTTATTTTACATGTATGGGTGTTTTGCCTGTACATATGTCTGTGCTCCGTGTGTGTGCAGTGCCTGTGGAGGTCAACAGAGGGCACCGCTCCCCCAGGCTGGAGTTTCATGGCTGTAAGCTATCATGTAAGTGCTGGGAATTGAACCCAGGTCCTCTGAAAGAACAGCCAGGCTAAGCTCAATATGTACTCTTCCTAGGAGGCATGCAGGCATTTTCTTCTCATTCCTCCTCTTCTACCTCTTCCTTCCCCCACCCGTTTAAATAGTATTCCCATTGTATGAGTGTGCATCCATGTGTGTAGGGGTTTTTCTGTATTCCTTTCTACCTTAACATTTTGTATTCACTAGTATGTATGTGGGTATGTTTGGGGTGGGGTGGTGTGTGTGTTTCAGTATGTATTCCCACAGCACATGGATGGAGGTCAGAGGATAACCTTGTGGAGTCAGTTCTCACCTTCCGAGTTGACATGGGTTCCTGGGATTAAATTTAGGACTTTGGGTTTGCACCAAAAAGTGTTTTTAGTGGATGAGCCCCCGCATCAGTCCATCCAGTTTTTTCCCTCTTTTTTCTTCAAGATAGTGTTTTTTTTACGTAGTCCTTATGGCCCTGGAGCTCACTGTGTAGACCAGGCTGGCTTTGAATTCACAGAGACCTGCTTGCCTCTGCATCCTGAGTGCTGGGGTCAAAGTTGTGGCACCTGGTTCTCTCAGTCCATCCACCTTTGTGAGACAGTTTCTCATTGAACTCAGAACTCACTAAATGGCTGGACAAGAGCTCTGGGATCCTCTAGTTTCTTCTCAAACAGGAAGTCTCTACCCATTTAAACAATAGTTCTCGTTTTTTCTTGCTCAACCCTGTTTTCTCTATAGGATTTTATCTTCTAGATAGCTTACATAGAGAGTGAAGCTTTCTAAATGTCTTCCATTGAAATTGTAATTTTGCATTTTTGAAGAATGACAGCGCGGGAGAGAAACACCATTAAGAACAAAAGAAAAGGATTCTTCAGAGAAACAGTAATGGAAGCTGGCAAACGTGGAACGGATTTTCCCAGAATGAAAACAAATTCGAGGTGCTAAACATGATGAAAAACTTTAAAAGAAGAGATGAAGTAAAATGCAAACAGTAGTCAGGTGGGAGACACTGGCCTGTTCTGCCCCCTGGTGTTGTAACACTGAATGTTTTGTGTATTTTTGGTTTTTCAGTCAGCATACCAAGTAAGGGTTTCATCGCGGCCATTGGTATATAGATGTCCCTTCCCTTTGTCCTCGTTCCCTACTGCTCTCTTGTGCCTCTCTCCATTCTCTTTGTCCTCTTCCTTTTCCCCAGTGGCCTCCCTTTCTGCTCTCATCTCCTATATACATACATTTTTATATTTAGATTCCGCACAGAAGAAGAACTTAGTGCTTGTTCAGGTCTGACTTTTTGCTTAGCATAATCTTGGGTTCTGTCCACCTTCCTGTATGTCTGAATAGCTTTCACTGTGCATACGTACCGCAGTTTGAAGCGCACCTATTGCTGGACCCCTTGCCTATTCCACCACTCGGGCTGTGAAGAGCACAGTGAGTGTGGATGCCTTGAACCTCTTGGTTAGATCCAGCATGAGGTCTTTTGTTTTGCTGCTGCAGCTGCTTTAACCGCCTTCAAAGATTTTTTTGTTTGCTGCTGGTACAGAAAATGTATTTTACGTGTTGGAGAGATATTGGAGAGCTGTTAAAAGGCTAGGCTCACAGCCAGAATGTCAAAATGCATTTTTGTTTATGTAAAATTTTCATAACAAAACTTACTGTATAGCCATTATTACTATTTTTATGTTGTGGAAGTGAGTGTTCACCATGGCCTTCACTTGAAATCCTTATGTTTCTGCCTTCCAAATGCTTGGCTTAAAGGTCTATGCTACTATGCCTTGCCATTTTTTACCATTTCCAAGCAGAGAGTTCAGTGGCATTAAATACAATGTTTTACAATCACACTTTTTTTTTTGGTTTTTACGAGACAGGGTTTCTCTGTATTGTTTTGGAGGCTGTCGGTCCAGCCCAGCCTCAAACTCACAGAGATCCGCCTGCCTCTGCCTCCCGAGTGCTGGGATTAAAGGCGTGTGCCACCACTGCCCGGCTACAATCACACTTTTTAAAAAAAAAGAGTCTCTTATAGCACAGGCTCACCTTGGAATTTGATCTATGGCCAAGGGTGACCTTGAACTTCTGATTCCCCTGCTTCTACCTCCCATCTTGCGGGATTACAGGTGTGCACCACCATACCTGGCTTCTTATTGTTTTGCCGTAGGGTCTTGTTAGTCTCAAATTCATAAGCAGCAAGCTTATGGTAATTTGTTGTGTCTGTTGTGTGTACAGCATTCAGGGTTTAGCAAAGGACGTGGACTGAGTTGTACTCTCAGTCCATGTTGTTTTAGTTCTACCATATTGTTTGCAGTGGAAGGGCGGAGATGTGTTGCTCGTGACGACAGCAGAAAGCTACCGCAGGATGAACCTGAGCATCTGTGCACATCAGTGGGTGAGGCTTAGGTGAATACAGTGCTGTTGAGAATGACGAGGCGGAGTCTGAGAGATGCTGACGCTGGTCTCTGAGGCACAAACGGTGTATCACAAGACTGGACCGGGAGGAAAGGAACACTGAGGAAGACAGCTCTCTTCAGCTCCTCGTCCTCAGGCAGACATGCTGTGTGGTGTGCTATTTGTTGAGGGAGAGTGGTCCCACCTAGTTCCATGAGCCAAGCTGACTGGGGCTCTGGGAGGCTAAGGCCTCCTTCTCCTTGGACTCGCTGGCTCACTTGAGTGCTTAGCATGGCCATTCCTTCTACCACCTGGTGCTAGCTCACTGATTGGTAGAAAGATGGCGTGAGTAAGCTTGTTATTCACTCTTCATCAGTATTTTACCTGCTTATTCTATATCCTGAAAAGGTGGAGGCTTAATTGAAGTGAGGTTGGGGGCAGGACTGTAGCTCAAGCTTCCAGAACACACTGCTGTGTGGAACCTGAACAGTATACAGTTGTCCTCTGTGCCACTCCTGCCCTGGTAGCACAGTACTCGGTAGCGGGATGGTAGACTGGGTGGCGGCTACCTATGTCCCTTTCCTAAGGATCTCTGCCTGAGGCTTCAGGTCTGGGACTCCAGGATGCCTCCAGACCAGTAGGTAGTGACTTTTCTGTTTTCTTCTATCTTCTGTTCTTCAAAATCAGTGTCTTCCACTGGTTGCTCCACATAACCATGAGCTCTTTTCTCTGCTTCGATGTCCACTGTTCAGTGCTGTCATTATAGTTCAGATTATCATGGGGCCAGGCCTCTCATGCTCTTCAGTTGTCACAGAGTTATGGGTGGGTTCATGGCTTCCTTTATAATAAGATTGCCAACTTAACTTCCTGGGCTCAGATGAGAGATGGCTGGGGCTTTGGATGCCCAGAAGTAGCTGCTCTCGGGAACAGGCTTTCTCTCTACGAGGGTGGATGTCCGCGCAAGGTGGCGCATCTGCGGGGCGGTTCTAGTGTGCTCTCCTTTCACTCGCTTATGTACTACACAACATCCCCTTTATGGAGTGCCTTGTGGAGAGGTGGAGCCTTCACAGATGGGTGGTTGGAGGTCTCTCTGTACTTGTCTTGGGCACCTCAATTGCACAGGCACTTTCACTGCCTCTAAGCACTTGATTCCAAAGGGCTAATTGAGATGTCTATTAACATATCAAAGCAGACATTGGTGGCCAAGTTCTCCCAGTATCCCTCAGTCCCTACCTGTTGAGGAGTCCTCCTGGCTGCCATACCCTGCCCACTACCCTGAAGCCCAACTACTGGTCTTGGCTTCCCTCCTCCCTAGTTCCTCTGGCCCCTATGTAACTTGCCACTTTAAGCAGCATGTGTCTCTTGGCCCAGGCTGCCCTATTTGGTCAGTGGTGACTTGCTCTCCTTCCTGTCTCCTCACGTGGCCTGGCTCAATCTGGACTCTCCCAGATGTCTCCATCTCTACCTGCTTTCTCCCTTATATCTGTAATAAAAACCTCAACCCACAGGAGCAGTCAGTCATGTCCTCCTTTTATTTCTTTTTTTCATTCAGTTCACAGATAATGCCTCCAATCCCAAGATGCTTCTTAGTCCATTGTCTGTGTTAGGTGTTAAGCAGATTTCCAAACAAGTAGATCTGCTTCTCTTCAGCAGGATACATACAAGATCACATGACTTGCTGAAGCTGGGGAGGTCCTAATTGGTATCTGGATTTTTGCCAAAAGCTAAAAAACCCAGAAACCAAAGACACACTATCTTACCAGAGGGGCCGAGTTTAAATAGAAATGAGCTAGTGGTTAAGTTCAGGGTCTTCACATATAAGCACAAATCACTGTGAACAGTGACAGCTTTCTTAAAGTAACAGACATGGAACAGTGATGACAGGAGGGTATAGGGAAGGGCCAGGGATAATCCACAGTTTGCTGTTTAGTGGGGCAGGGTCCTTTTTCAATGGCAGAGCCAACTTCTGACACCCTAAACACAGGAATAGTGAGCTGACGAAACTGGGCCATCAACCACTCATCCCAACTTGTCTCCAACAGTTGCCTCAGTAACTATGCCACAAGCCAAGGGAGAGCCCAAACATTTCTAAATGACTTTCAGATTGCTCCACAGATGCCGTTATATAGTCCAAAGGTGGATAATGCTCAAGCTGGGGGCAGAGGAGGAGGGGTAAGAGATGGATGGAGAAGGGAGACAGATGTTCTCTAGTCCACCGAATTTTTGAGTTAGTTGCTTAGTGTGATAGGTTTCTCCTTTCACATTTGTCTTAAAAATATATTCAATGATTTGTTTCCAAACAAATAAAATCAGTCTTTCTCTCCCATTACTCCTTTCTGTCTTCTCTGAAAAAGTTTCCAAATCTTTCTGGAAAGCTTAAATCCAAGGGCAGTAGTAAACCGATTTGGGTTTGTAAATATAAGGAGGTTGACCCTAATCTGTGACAGTCACCATGTAGTTTTTAACAGTTGCATGACAACCGTGTATTTTTGTTGTATGAGAACAGAAAGAAGTCTCGGGAAGTCTATGGTCAGTTTGGATAGCTTCTTTCCTCGAACCTGGGGGAGCAAGCAGACAGTAGCTGGTGATCCTGGCAACACCATCTGGTACAAGCAGTGAGATGTGTAGGTCTACACTGGAAAGAAAGACTGTGAGGGGGTGTGAATCCACCCGAGGATGAGCACACCTGCTTAGTTTATCTTGGAGGAAGAAAGTGTCTTCTTCATTCTCTGTGTTGCAATAATCAGACCCACCGTTTGTCTGGGATGATAATGTGTATAATGGTAAACTCATCCCTCATCAGTTTCCCACAGAGTACTCCACATGTTTCTATGTCACGGGCAGTGTTAGCATTGGTGAGCCGGGGAAACTTGGCATAGCTTCAAGGTGTCATACATATGGTGCGATCCACTGATGATGAGAACATTGCTGTGCTGCGCAGCACTCCAGGTCTGGAAGACCTGGCTACCACTGGTGACTCAGCTAGCTTTAGGGCTGTGTTGCAGTCTGAAGCCTGTGGATAGCACCCAGGTTGTGAATGCTCATCCGAGGCTTATCTAAATCAGGCCCGAGCAGCCCTCTGGGTTTGGGTCTATCTTGCTAAGCTCTTGCACAATTTTTAGTCACTCTTTTTCCAGCTCCTGGTTCTGGATCATCTCCTCAAAGGCATGGAACTGTTTCTGTTCTAACTCATGCAGCTTTTGCTCTCTCCCCAGCTCTTGCTGGGTGGCCATGTGCTGGGGAAGTCAGCCCTGCTTCTCTTTATATTGCTCTCATTCTTGGGTGTGTATACAAACTGCTTCTGGTTATTCTGCTTGGAAAAGTGAGTTCTTTAATTTCTTGACTGTGTCTTCTCAGGAATGACAGCTGATTTGTAATCCCAGTATCTGGGGATTTTGCTCTGTGAAGGACTTGATGTACTTGTTATAGAGGATAAAGGCATGTTCAATGTTGCTTTCTTCAGAGTAAACGGATGTCTTGTAGATGACTTGAACTGACAGGGTGTGGAGTATTGAATCACACCGTATTCTCAATTTGGGGAAGGAGAAAGGATCTTTACTGTGTCTTTGAGTGGAAGGGAGATGTTTCCATGGTCAGGCATCAGGACCAAAAACTTTGGA